TTGTCAGGCAAGAAAACAGAACACACTGCTTTTTTCCATGTTGTGCAGCTCCGCGAAGAACAACAACAAAGACAGTAGGCAAGAATGTGCTAGGGACGCAGTCCGCAGGACGGCCATGGTGGAAGCTGCGGGTGTGGCGCGGTTGCGGGAGTACACTTGGGCTATCCCACCAGCCCATAGCAGAGCCAACTTCACGCCGCGAGAGATCCGAAAGTTCACTGGTGGCCTGGTGAAGCTGATCCGCTCCCACGATGTCTTGCGCACTGAAGGCGTGCGGCAGTGGATGGCCGAGCTGGAATGGCTGCCCGCAACACCGACAGCGCCAGTGTGGGATGACGTGAACAAGTGGCTCATAGAGAGAGGGCACCGGTACAGTGTGGAAGGGGTAAGACCTGTTGCTGAGCTGCTAGAAGACTTGCCGCCCAACCTGGCAGTGGCGAGGGAGCTAGCCCCGCAGCTGCAGTTCCCAGAGTTTCCGGCAGACAAGCCTGGGGAAGAGTGGCGGTTCTACCCCACAGCAGTTGCACCGCCAGTGCCAGAAAGCGTAGCAGCCACCATTTCAGCGCACAAAAGCGTTCCGCGCTGGAGTGCCGGGTGGCAGCTGGAATTTCATGGCACGTCGCTATACGGGGTGTCAAGTGCCTTGGCTGTTGGCGAAATTCTACCTTCCGAAAGTGACAACAGCGCCAATGGGACGGCCTGCAGCCGAGGTGCCTACACCTCACAGTCCCATGCAATTGCAGCGCGATATGGCATTTGCCACTATTTCGGTGAGTGGAACCAGCCCAGCCACAGCCACTTGGTCAAGATGTTCTTGCTCGTGGCCATCCCTGGCGCTGCAGCTGAAGCATTACCAGAAGCTGAGTGGCAGCAAGTGGACCGCACCCACTTGTCAAAAAGAGGAAAAAAAAAGTGCATTTCAGCTGACAGAGGATGATGCACGCCTCAAACGGGTGGCCATGCGACTTGGTGAAGATGGCCAGGGCACCGTCCGGGAGCGGGACTGGACGACCCAGGCACCTGGCTATAGCCAAGCCACCTCATCAAGGGCCTATGTGCTCGGGGCCGTCGTGGGGGTGCTGAGCCCAGCGGCTGCGCGGCGCTATGGGCAAGAAGGGAAGCAGGCCATGGTCACAACTGGCTGGGTGGAGAAGGCAGAATTGCCCCTGGCGCGGCCCCGCCCCTTGGGGCGTACGCCTTGAGGGGGTTGCTGGGAGCGGCGGGGCTACCTTTGCCTGAGAAGTTTGCATTTGCTCAGCATGTTCGTGACCAGATCCCCAGGTGTTTCCAACCAGTTGCAGAATGCAAAACGCACTGCAAGATGGAAAGTTGTTGAATTGAAGACTATCACAAAGGTGCAGACGAAGGATTGGCTGCAAAATGGTCTGAAGGTACAGAGACATGTTCTAAGCAAACTTGCTTTTGAAGCTCAGATGAGCAAACGTTTCATTGGTAGTGGGCTACAAGAACTCAAGAAATAGGGGCAATAGATGATAAATCCTTCACATTGCACAGCCTTTCGTTTTTATTACCTCATGTTCCTTCAAGAGTTGAGAACATTGAGATTCTTGAGACACTTTGTGCAACTTCACCCAACTTTGCACATGTTGACGGCCCCGATTTGTGGTCGTTTTGTGTCAGCTGCAGGTGCTCTTCAACTTGCTGACGTTGAGTTGCCGGAACCAATCGCCAGATAACCCAGCCCTCATGTTCCTTCAAGAGTTGGGAACATTGAGATTCTTGAGACACTTTGTGCAACTTGACCCAACTTTGCACATGTTGATGGCCCCGATTTGTGGTCGTTTTGTGTCAGCTTCAGGTGCTCTTCTACTTGCTGACGTCGAGCTGCCGGAACCAATCGCCAGATGACCCAGCCCTCATGTTCCTGCAAGAGTTGAGAATATTGAGATTATTGAGACACTTTGTGCAACTTGACCCAACTTTGCACATGTTGATGGCCCCGATTTGTCGTCATTTTGTGTCAGCTTCAGGTGCTCTTCAACTTGCTGACGTCGAGCTGCCGGAACCAATCGCCAGACGACCCAGCCCTCATGCTCCTTCAAGAGTTGAGAAATTGAGATTCTTGAGACACTTGGTGCAACCTGACCCAACTGTGCACATGTTGATGGCCCCAATTTGTGGTCGTTTTAGGTCAGCTTCAGGTGCTCTTCAACTTGCTGACGTCGAGCTGCCGGAACCAATCGCCAGACGACCCAGCCCTCATGTTCCTTCAAGAGTTGAGAACATTGAGATTCTTGAGACACTTTGTGCAACTTGACCCAACTTTGCACATGTTGACGGCCCCGATTTGTGGTCGTTTTGTGTCAGCTGCAGGTACTCTTCAACTTGCTGACGTCGAGCTGCCGGAACCAATCGCCAGATGACCCAGCCCTCATGTTCCTTCAAGAGTTGAGAACGTTGAGATTCTGAGACACTTTGTGCAACTTGACCCAACTTTGCACATGTTGACGGCCCCGATTCGTGGTCGCTTTGTGTCAGCTGCAGGTACTCTTCAACTTGCTGACGTCGAGCTGCCGGAGCCAAGCGACAGATGACCCAGCCCAGAGTCGAAAAGAGCAAGGGCGAAACAGCACCTGACTATGAAATCGAAATTTATCGATGATGGTTGACAGGTTTTGTACAAGTGTAAGTTGCAACCCCAGGCTGGCTTCGGCGGTACCGCCACGATAAAGTGAGCATTTTGTGGATTTGGTTCCTAAAAGGCTGGTGTTACTCTTGCTCACCAAGATAGAAGTCCTAGACCCTGAAAAGGTGGGAACCAACCCTGCTCTTCAGTGCAGTCAAGAGAGAGAGAGTAGCAAAGCAGCCGACCCAGCAAGAGCATGAAGGTGAGGAAGCCGGGCAGGGCACTTGTGTAAGACAGGGTTGGTCTGTACAGGAGTGGGTTTGAGTGCAGCAAAGCTTTTGGCTAAACCAAGGCTGTTGTGTAGACGGGGCGTCAGCCCTAGAAAGCCCTTGTAGCACATTCATGGCGAAGCAACGGCGGCAGAAGAAAGCTTAGACAACAGCAAGCCAGCTAGCCAACCAAGAACGTGAAGCGCAGGACGCAGTGGAGCAAACAAGAACACGCGCACGGTGTGCAAGGCGGGGGCAGAGACGAACCCAGCACATTGCAACGAAAGACACAGAGGAAAAATACGAAGAGAAGACAGAAAAGATTGTGTTGCGTAAGCGGGGTTTGGGTTGAAATTGGGGGAGGGCGGGGTGGGTTCAAGTTAGACGTTAGACGGGGCAAAAATCCGCGCCAAGGGAAAGTCTAGACAAAGACAAAAGACTAAACAAACAGTACAACTACGAACAAGCAAGATCCACAAGACACGCCGGCAGGCCGGCGAATTTTTTTGAAAATGGGGATTTAGGTCAGGGATTTAGGTCTAAAAAATCCGTTGTTGAAGGGTTGTTCATAGCATTTCATAAATGTTCTGGGCCCCATTTCTCTGAGATTCCCCCATGAACCACCGTGATCTATGACCTGCTGAAAAACTGCCCCATGGCAGAATCACAAGTTCCATGCCAGGAAATGTCAGAAGAACATGGCAGAAATGGTCCGTTTGGAAACCTCTGAGAACTTGTGATCAATGATGTAATATATATATATATATCAAGTATATAGATCACTAGGATGATTCCATTGGATTTGGTCCATCGCTCATGTGGGGCCAGGCTCTGTTGGACGCGCGTTGCTCGCGCGTGGAGTGACTGCGTGAGCCGCAGAAATGAACAAAGGCAGAAACCCTTCGGCAAAGATTTCAGACGGTTGGAAGTGCCATGTCATCCCAAAAATGGTATCCCCAAAATAGCCAGCTAGCAAACTAGCCGTTTTTCGAAAAATCGACCAAGATCTTCGGTGAGTGCCTGGTTTCAATGTTGTGAGTTGATTTCACCATGAGTTTGATGGCTACATCTTCGTTCACCATGAAATTCACCATCGTTTCCCCAGCAGAACAAGGTCGTTTTCGGCGTCCGAATGGAAGGGTCCTGCGAGGAATTGTTCCGGGCCAAAGAGCCCGTCCGAACCAGATCGGTAGCAGGTTTCAGCAAAACTGGTGGATGTACCCTCTGGTAAACTAACATAGCTATGGAAAATCACCATTTTTAATGGGTAAATCCACTGTAGATGGCCCCATGTTTAATGGGTAAATCCCTCTGGTAATCTAACGGTTTGCTGTTGAAAATGGCCCAGTCGAAATAGTTGATTTACCCAGCTACATAGCATGGTGATTTGCTATAGCTAATATAGCGAACTGTTAGTTTACCAGAGGGTAACCATGGATGAACTTTTGCTGTGGTGAATCCATCATGGATCCACCATGCAACGAAAATATATGGGAAGATCCACCATCGGGTGATTCCATAAGTGTAAGAAAATTAGTTATTCATCAGTATAACTCTTCCATTTTAACCTCCATAAGTTGGGATATGGGAACTTGCAATTGACTTGTGCTAAGGTGGATGTATCGATACCAACTGTTGGATTTCTGTCGGATATATCGTTCGATGAGGTTGTAAACCAGCATAGCTGAGCAGCCCTTGTCATATGTGGAAGTTGCAATGCACATCCAAGTAGAATCCTGCATCTGCCTTGGGAAAATTGGAGTCGCTGGTTTGATTTAAACGATTTGTTTACAGGAAACCATGGTTTTTCACGGTAAGCGATTGGGGGTACAAATTTCCCCTTCAATTCCAAAATCGGAAGGTTAAATATGTGAAAAATCTTCCAAATGTCAGTACTCAAAACACACTCCGGCAATCAAATATGGTAGTGGGAAATCTCATAAATTGGTATTGAAGTGGGAAAATCATCGAACTAAATGGCGTTTTTTTTCATTGCCATGTTTGATTGCCAGAGGGTACAAGATGGTCCATTATCCATTAATGATCCATGAATCATCCCAATGTTGTTGGTGAATTTCCCCATTTATCTATTCACCATTGTAGGCAATAGGTCCATCGTTTTCCCCATCCGTAGACTTTCTTGGCTCGAACACAATACCCGCAGCGTGCGCTGCACCATGGCTTTGCAAAGCTTTTGCGCGAGGGTCCGCTGGATGGCGGTGGATGTGGGCATTGCTCGATGATATAGTTGTAGAATGGGGATATTATTGTGGTGTGGGACATAATACAACATATATATATAACCAAGAATATGACATGTGCCATGGTCAGGTTGGTTTGATTGTATACCCATACTCAAGGTTCAGGTACCCAATATATAAGTACCACACTCAATATATACAATGTTTTAAGAATGGCACATATCGGTTTCTTACAATGGAGGAACCCCAAAATCATGGGTTTCAATACCTAAAGCGAATTTTTGTATGATTTTGACGTCCTTCATTTCAAGAGAACCTCATACGGCTATGGATCACAACAATGCATAATCATGGGTCCACAGCAAAATCCCTGGGATCTATGGATGTTCATACGCAAAGAGATATGGTATCACATGAATAATCTCCATACGTTTTTTTTTTTGTGTGTGTGTGTGCAAACATATTTGGATAGTAAATATATTCATATATGTAATGTATGTAGTCCGTGTTTATATAGGTTCAACGGTTTAATGAGGAGTTGCCATGATTATTGTTTGATACAAAGGGTTCAATGGGCTGCTCAATGAGGATACAGTGTGCGTATGAGGTCAGTCAGTTGTTCCTGGTGGCATAATCTTCACTATTAAGATAGTCATCAACTGGGATTGTCGTTTCAGACAACCCCACCTATGAAACTGTATGGTGCTGCAGTTTCCACATACATTTTTCGCCTGTTCGTCAGTGCCACATGCTAGCGCAGAGAACATGAATTCAATAGCGAATAAATCTTTGTCACACAAAGAACCAGTCAGAAATGACAAAGTGCTGGGATGAATTCAATTATGATCAACTATGAACCACTCCATTGAGATTTAGTTGACACCAGGAATTTCAAGCATTCAGACACCATGTGGACCTGTTTCAATAAAAGATTAGCAGATGGTTTCCCCATATTTGAAGGTCAGGTCCCCCAAGTTTCCGCCGTCGCAGGTGCGCCCCAGACGAGCCCTTCTGGGGCGATGTTTGCCGAGTCTTACTCAGGCCATGAAATGATGGCCCTGAAAAGTTGGGGGCTGAACATGAAGTGATGCTTGAGTTTCTCAAAACTTCTTGGTTTCTAAGTTTCTACAAAGACAATGACATACAATCAATGACTAATAACCGTGGATGATTTTGGGATCGTCATCTGGAAAAGCCATCGATTCCCACTCCTCTGCCGTGGAAAGATCCATCGATCATCGATCCGTAAAGGCCACCGGACGAAGTCTACACCTCTCCAGACGAACCTGTAAGGCCGATGCAACGAACGGGTTCAACGGTGCACCATGGCAGTTGATGGTCGTTGATCGCCAGCGAATCATAGAAAATGGTGGTTTTTCTGTGTTCGTTTTTCGAGGTCTTGATGAAATCTCAGATCTGGAGCAGTGGCTGTGTTTGATACCCCTTGTTGCTTGATTGGTGGAATCAAAAACTATCCTTGAGATTAATTGGGAATTCTCACTGAATGGTGGGAATGGGACTATCAACTATCAACAATATGATCAACAATTGTCAATTGACCAAAATATGATGGGAATGCCGTTCTCGTTTGGGTTCTCATGGCTCGTTTGGTTGACACCGCGTTGCGATCTTCGAGGAGTGGTCTATCGATGAGCTCATTAACTGCAACGAGGTTAGCGACGATGGAAAAATGTCGCAGGGTAGGGTGATCCAACTGATCTAAGATGTTTAAAAATCGAAGTGATTTTTCAATGGATATAAAAATATAAATATGGATAAATGTCCTTTGGATATTTCTAGTTGTTTCAGCCACTATAAATGGATACAAAGCAACTATAAATGAATAAATTTCCTGACAAGGAGTGGCGACAGAAGATGATGGAGAGCGATCCAAGCTTCTTCGATCGCACCGTCTGGGACCCAACAACGGAGTTTCGAAGAGAAAAAACACCAGGTTGTGCACTCATAGTGCAATATCATAGTGGAATATGATTGATGGATGTTTCGTATTGTTTTATGATTATGAAATATCATGATGTTAAATTAGAATCATAGTGGCCATTAATTACAAGGCTTCCAAAAATTGAAGGTTTCCGAAAAGTTGGGGCTAGCCCTAAATCATCCATTTAGAGCATTTCACCAAATGGTGCTTGGCTTGTTTTAATTCGTTGGACCGATTGAGGTTTCTTTTTTGTTGGATTTTCCATCAAAAAAACATCAAATCCAGCTATTGGTTTCGATCGCCGAGGCCAAGACTCAGAAGCCTAGATATTTGTGGATAGGCGGGGCCGGCAGGCCGACCCATTGATTGAACCAATGGGGATGTTTAATGGGGATTTTTAATGGGACTTTAATGGGGATTTAATAGGGATTTTCATGGTGATTTCTTTTATGGGACTTCAATGGACCTTCGGAATTTTATGGGAATTGATGATGAATGGTCGGATTCACCCACAAAAATGGAGTTGTTCATGGGGATTTACCCTCTGGTTATTCAATGGTTTTGCTGGAAATTGCCGATTTAGTTCGATGATTTATGATGATTTACCAACAAAAAATGTGTGATGTTCTATAGCTATGTTCAATTACCACAGGGTAATCATCAAATATACCCACGAATCATGGGGATAGAAATGACTTATCATTGAGGAAAGTCATTCGCAACATAGATGGATAGTGGTTTCAATCATGTCTTATTGTCAACCCTAGAAATGGGATGATCGTCGAAACTAGCATGTTTTTCAGGTTTTTCAACACCAAACAGAATATAGTGATCGCTTTTTGTTTTGCTTTTTACCACTGATTTATGATATTATTGGTGATTTTCCTATGATATTAATGGTGATTTTCCTATGATAAATGGTGATTTTCCTATGATATTAATGGTCATTTTCCTTGATCGCCAGTGATTCTGATGGGGTTCTGCACTTGTACTACTTGACTTCTCGGTTATCCTGGAGCCGTTTTTTGTGGTTCGCCCGTTCTTACCAAACACCAGAGACCCAACAAATGGGATGTTGCATGACATTGAACAACCATCCTCAAAGGACGCTTGAAACCCATGTTAAATTGATATATATATATATATAGTCATAGTCATTTAGTGGAATATTTACTAACCATGTCTAATGGTTATTTCAGTTATTTTTTTAATAAACCACGTGTAAAAATTTCACCGTCCAAGGTTGTAGCGACAGCCGTGTGGCGCCGGGGACCATTTGCGGCACCTTGGTGTCCAAAAACCATGGGAAAATGATGGGAAAGTGATGGGAAAGCATGGGAAAATGGAGGATATTTACCATATTTACCCCAATTTTGATGTAATTTGATGCTATTTTGGATAAGATGAGTTTTAGCCCGTGGTATTGGGCTGATTACCTCGTTTAATGTTGATGTTCATGTGAAACAAAATGAAGCATGAGAATTTTGGAGGCACCATACGATCAGCTACTCATGCGCGAGCCGAGTTTCCTACAGATGATGCAAGCAACTAAGCTACAAGTTGCAGGTAGATGAATGATACGAATACAAACATCGATTTTAGCATGTTCAAATGGTTCATAATTGTGGAATAGGCCCTTGTCATGCTTGCAGGTACCGCATTACCATAGCCACGGCGGCTCCAGTGCGCACCAGGAAAATGGGACGCTGCCACGATTGAGTGGCAGCGGAGCATAGGTTCGATCCAGGGCAGGGGCTTTGGGTAGTGCTCGGTGCTTGAGCCATTGGCGGAAGCTTGGGGCGTGCGGCACTGGAGCTGGCCATGACATCCTACTACGAGGTGTTCGAGGTCCAGCCGGCTGAGGAGGAGAGTGGCAACTCAGGGCATAGCAATGGAGGTGGTAGTCAGGCAGGCTGGGCGTGGGGTCAGTCACCTAGCCAGAGTTGGGTGCAGTCTAGTCCAGGAAACAATTGGTGGCATAGCCAGTCTTGGCAGTGGTGGTCACCGGGTGCCGGAAGGAACTATGAAAATTGGTCGTGGGACGACCAGGGTTCCGAGAGTGCGAGTATGCGTTCTTGGAGGTCGTATGAAAATTGGTCATGGGGTCCGGGCGGTTCGGGAGAACCTGAACGCGTTGGACGAGCACGAGGTGGCGGGCATGATGCGGGGCGAGATGCAGGAGCAGGCGGCAGAGGTTTGGGATCTACGCCACAAAGTTCACCGAGGTCTCCCCCGGCGCCGGGCTTTGACAGGAATGGCAACGCCCCTTCGGGCGAGGTGACATCTGTGGGCGATGGTCCTGGGCCCAGGGAGCCCGGCGGTGGTGGAGACGAGCCGGATGCGAAAAAGCTGAAGGGCAAGGCGAGCAACTCCTACCCGCCTATCTTCCGGGCGAAGCCCGGAGAGTCTTACAGAGATTGGCGGAGGAGTGTGGACTTTTGGTTGGGTGGCGAAGGTCATCAGATCCCGAAGGAGTACGTGGGCCCACGCATCATGGTGCAACTTCGTGACAGGGCAGCGCAGTTGGTGAAGCACCTGAACAACAATGATGTGAACACTGCGGATGGCATGAGCAAGATCTTTGCCGTGCTGGAGAGGAGCCCACTTGTCAAGCAGTTGGATAAACATCGGGTTGACCAGCACCGCAAGCGGTTGATGGCTTTGAGCAGATACCCTGGCGAGTCCCTCGAGTCCTACATCACGAGGGGCAACCTCTATCGCAACCAGTTGCTTGGACTGGACAGTTCGCTTGAGATGGGCGAGCGGTTCTACGTGGGGCATTTGCTGGACCATGCCCGGCTCACCAGGCGAGACAAGGCCCTGGTCAGGACTCGAGCTGGCGAGGATTCAGAGGAGGCGGTGACGAATGCCATGGTTGAACTTGCTGCTGAATTAGAAGGAGAGCAGGGCTGCCCCATTGGAGCTTCAGAACCGAATGTGGCAGGAGCCAATGGTGAGGAGTGGCTGGTGCAGCGTCCCGGCAATGCAGGTGGCGGCTACATCGGGAAGAAGTTCACCGGCAAGGCAGCTTTGGGGGCGGAGGTTGCAGGCGAGTTCAACGAGGAGGATGTCGAGCACGATGAGACAGATGATCCGGGCGAGGAGAGCGTGGATGGGGAGGTTCCGGTGGAGCTGATGGAGGCTGAAAGGGAGGCCTACGCGATGCACTACCGGGCCAAACAGAAGATGGCTGAGGTGAAGAAACTCCGCCAATACTACAAGAAGGAAGGAGGCGGAGAAGAACGCCGCAGAGCACTTGCAGAGAAGATCCGAACGACAGCATGCCACAATTGTGGAGAAATTGGACACTGGTCAAGGGAGTGTCCAAAGGCAGGCAAAACACACCAAGCATGCGTGGCGACCTACAACATGAAGAAGAAGAGCGGCAGACGGGCCAACACTTCCTTGGAGGGGATCCCGGAGCAGAACACCGACCACGAGTGGGATCTTTTAGTGTCACTTTGCTCATCAAACATTGATGACGCAGCAGCCGGAGCGTCCGCGAGAGTGTACATGGCGAGTCCGTGTGGGGTCAGCATGCATGAGGATGAGGCGCATGAGGTCATGTGGTGCATTCATGAGTTGGAAGATTCGGTCATTTTGGATCTGGGTTGTCTCAAGTCTGTTGCCGGAACCAAATGGATGAATCAAGTTTTGAAGAGATGGCAAGCGGCAGGTCGATGGTTTAGAGTTTTTTCGGAGAAGGAGACCTTTCGATTTGGTAGCGGCAACACACTTCCCAGCAGATTTGCAGTGCAGTTGTTGGCAACATTTTGCAGACGATTGGTCATTTTGTCGTTTTCTGTGGTTGAAGGGAATTGTCCACCATTGCTTTCTAGACCGGCATGTTCACAACTTGGAGCGGTATTTGACTGTGCACAACACACATTGTCATCTAGGAAGTTGAAGGTGAAAGGTTACGGGTTGAAACAAACTACAAGTGGCCACTACATCATGAATATTGAGGATTTTGATGAGAATGTGGAAGTTGAGATACCGCCTGAATTTCGACTGGAAGATGGCATTGATGCACAGATGTGGAACCATGATTTGTTGATGCCTGAAGAAACTTTTGGTTCAAGGTCACCCCGCCGAGTTGAGCAAGAAGCACATGTCAGCGGCGGCTTCGGTGGTGGTGCGTCATTGCCGAGTATGCGGCGATCCAGATCACCGCAGCAGAGACTGTCCTTGCATCGACAGTGGGGACGAACCACCTCCCCTTCAACGCGAGGCCTTGGAGATGGACGCCGTGAGCGAGGTGAGCCACTATCGGAAAGGACAATACCCCGGCCGTCGAGACGAGGAGATGGTCCACGCGGTGGTGATGTCTTCGACGCCCAAGCGTCGAGCTCAACGAGCGGCCCCGCACAGTCCATGGGAACATGTGGCAATCCCTATGTGGACGGAAGCCAATCGTGGAGTTCCAACCTACAACATGGCGGAGGGCGAGGTGATGCAGAATGTCCTGACGGAGGCGGAGCAGAAGATGATCGCGAAGAGTCGGGCGAAGAAGAGCCAGGCTGCAGCCAAACGAGTGGAGCAAGCTGCACTGACGGGACAGAGGGCGGATTACCCGTCGCTGTCGCACGCTTGGAGCAACGAGGTGGCGTTCAACATGGTGGCGAGTGTGCGCAGCCGCATGGTGACGTTCATGTGGAAGAAGCTGACTTGGCAGCTTCGAGTGAAGCAGGCCTTAGCGGAGACCTATCCCCAAGCCCGATGGAAGAAGAATCAGCGGTGGTTGGCGGGCTTGCTGGGCAAGGAAGTGGCTGCGCTGTGGGGTCACCTGGGAGCTATGCGCCAACAACTCCATGCTCCAATCGGAGTGGCGCTGATGTGAGAAGGGAGCCCGGTGACGGGAGTCCAGATGTTTGGAAGCTCTTGCAATCGCCGTTGACGGACTATGAACCGCCATCACAGACACCGTCAGACCGAGGAGCTCATCGGCATTACAGGGAGGAGGATATGGAGGAGGAGACACAGACGTCCGATCGGACGTACAGTACGGGAAGATCAATACGCACTGAGCGAACTTGGGAGGAGAATTGGTCTGGCAGCGATCAGAGGGGCTCGCATGAGAGAAGGGAGCCCGAACCAGAGCAATCTCCAGGCAAGGATGTTAGACCATCTCGAGGTCTTTCCCAGATGTTCAAGAGGTCGATTAATGAGGCATTGGCGGTGATGGACAAGATCAAGGCGGTCACTACGTGGCGCACGGACTATATGGTCCTCGAGCTCTTTGCGGGGTCAGCGACTTTGTCTCGGCACGCTCGGTCAAGGAAGGGTTGGGCCAGCTATGAGCCGGTCGACATCATCTTCGGGGAGGAGCACGACTTGCGGAAGCCCGAGAACATCAAGCGGATCCTGGACGTGGTGACTGGGTTCAAGCCGGACTTGGTGGTGATCACCCCGCCCTGCGGCCCTTGGAGCACATGGCAACGAATGCGGATAGACTTCGACGCCTTGGATGAGCAGCGGCGCCAACATCTACCATTTTGGAGGCTGGCCAGGAAGGTATGGGATGTGCAGACGCGTGTGGGCCGGTTGGCCCTGACGGAGCAGCCAGATGGATCAGAAGCCTTGGAGCTGAACTACATGACGGGGCGAGAGCAACTACATCGAGTGGTGGTAGATCAATGCGAATTTGGGCTGAAGGATCCGGTTTCGCACAAGTGGTACAAGAAGCCCACAGCCTTGGATGTCAATGAGGAGGAGTTCGCAATGAGGCTGGCTCAGGTGAGCCGATGCTCCCATCGACCAGATGAACATGAGCAGATCAAGGGCAGTGTGTATTGGCAGGGCAAGTGGCAGAGGCGCTCTACCTTGGCAGCGGCTTGGCCGAACAAATTGGCCGATCACATCCTCAAGGCGGCAGAAGATTCCTGGAAGGGAGCAATCAGTGCTTGTGGTCAACCTTGTCGAATCTCGGAGCCCAATCAAGGAAATGAATGGCTGACGGTTCCAGTGGAGATCCAAGGCGGTGTATTGACGCCAGAGGAAGTGCTGAGGCGGCAGTTGAACCAGATGGGTGCTGCAGGGGACCGCTACGACTATGTGACCTTTGAAGGTGAAGCACGGGGACTCCCGCGGAGGGTGAGGGCCACTTTGGCGCATCTACATGTGGTCTTGGGGCACTTGTCGAACGATCGGCTTGCGAGAATGCTGAGTCTGGCGGGCGGCAATAGAGAACTGCTGTCAGGGGCCCGAAGCTTGAGGTGTCAGGTTTGCTGCATGGTGCGTCCTCCGGACAACAAACCTCAGGTGAGCTACATGAAGCCGTCCAACTTCAATCAGCGGGTTTCGGCGGACTGTTTTCACATTTGGGATCATGCAGGCGTGCAGTACACTGTCTTTCACATGATTGACGAGCTCACGGACTATGAGATTGCAGAGTTGGAGTTTCATCCCGGTTCTCAATGGATCTCTGAGGTTGTGCGAGAAAGGTGGTATAGAACATTTGGGCCGCCGGATGAGTTGGTCACGGACGCCGGCAAGGAGTTCTGCGGTGCCATGCAAAGACTCAATGACTTGTTTGCCGTTCGGCACGAGGTGGTGCCCGATCAAGCCAAATCGAGGCTAGGTCATGCCGAAAGACATGGAGCCATTTTGAAGGTGATGCTCATGAAGATGGTGGCCGAGCTGCGCTTGAACTTGCTTGGCGAGATGCAGGGAGCTACAGCAGCTGCAGTGGCGGCCAAGAACAGGATTGTGGGAGCCAGTGGCATCAGTCCGATTCAGGCAGTGACGGGGCGCAGCACATCGATACCGACGTCCTTGCTGTCGCAGTTGGTGTCGGGCAACGTCAAGTTCAAGATCAATGAGGATCTGGAGAAGGACGAGGCCTTGCGACGTGCTGAACGAATCCGAGCCAGTGCAATTGAGGCATGCCATTGGATTGATGCACACGAAGGTCTTCGGCGTGCGCTTTAATGCCAAGTCCAGGCCACCCAATCTGGCGACGTTGCGAGAAGGCACCATCGTCTACTGCTACGACCCACCGGCAAACAGACGGGGATTGGCACGGCGGCTCCAGGACAACTCTTCATGGTCAGGCCCGGCGGTGGTGGTTTGTGTGGAGCGAAGTGAAGGCACGCCCAAGCGGGTGTGGGTCCGGATCAAGACGAAGGTCAAGTGCTACCCTTTGGAGAAGCTGAGGCTGGCCACCTGTGATGAGATGGTGTCGGCAGAATACATATCAGGGGCGCTGAAGGAGGTGCAGGACGAGCTCAGCAAGGGCACTTTGAAGGTCGCGGAGAACAAGGAGAAAGATCTGCCAGTGGTGCCGGAGGAACGTCCTGCTGATCCTCCGGATACTCCAATGGAGGGACAGGAGTCAAGCTCTTCATCTGGAGATGCCTCATCGGCTACGGCCGAGGATGTGAAAAGGGAGCGTGAGGCCAAGCGCAAGGAATTGCTCTCGGACGTTCCGCAGGCATTGAGAAAGAAGCGAGTCGAGGAGCCGCATTCTCTATCCTTTGCAAACAAACGGGCGTTGTTCGAGCGACTATCCAAAGAGTTCCAGGCCCCGACCAAGATGGAGGAGGCACAGCTGCGGGCGAGATTGAAGGGTGCTTTCGACCAGTTGAAGAAGGTGAGGAAATCCTACCGCAAGGGGGACAAGGAGAAGGCCCGGGCATCGTCATCCACGGGTCCAAGGCGTAGGTCTCGCCCGGCATTTGTGGCAATGCCGGCGTTGGTGCAGAAGGAGATCGAGGCGGATGGTGGTCTGGAAGCGCTGTGGAATGAGACTGAAGAGCATGCCGCGTTTTGGAGCTCAGACCATGATGACGCGGTGGGCATCGATTATGTGAAGGATCTGATGGAGACGGCTGAGAAGGATGCATCTGACAGCGCAAGAGCCGCCTATGAAGCCAAGCTGGTCACAGGCAAGCAACGGCTGGAATATCGATGGCAGAGCTTGGACGAAGATTGGCAGAAGGCCTTCAAGGAGCCTATCCTCAAGGCGGTGAAGGTCTACTTTGACCATGCAGCGGTTTCGGGCGTGGGCAAGGATGTGGTAGTGGATCCACGCAAGATTCTGACGTCAAGGTTTGTGCTGACCAACAAGGGTGGCGAGAACCTGTCCGAAGCAGAACTGAAGGGCAGGTGGATCTTTGGAGGACATCGTGATCAAGACTTGGGCAAGTACCAGACGATGGCGCCGACGGCTAGCCTTTTGGGGCACAATCTGTTGAACTTTGTGGTGGTGCAGATGGGTTGGGAGGTGCAGTATGAGGACGTTTCAGCGGCGTTCCTTCAAGGCAAAAGACTTCCTGAAGGACGAGAAGTTTATGTGAAAATACCTCAGGGATACCCGCAGTATGTCAACGACTACATCCGGGAGATGCTGGGCGTGGAACGCAGGGATGATTTACTACGCCTGGACAAGGGTGGTTTCGGGCTGTCTGAGAGCCCTAGACTTTGGTACCTAGAGTACAAGGGAACCTTGAAGGACATCGGCGTGAACGAGCTCAAGCTGATCCCGGGTATGTTCCGAGCTTTCCATCCAGATGGTCGTCTTCGAGCGGTGGTGTGCATACACGTGGACGACACCCGGTACACGGGAGATGAGACGGCTCAGCAGCTTTGGGATGAGCTGCACCGCCGTTTGAAGTTCGGCCAATATCGAAAGGCCACAGAAGGCAAGACGAAATTCTGTGGGCGTTATGAACAGCAGAACCCTATCACCAAGGAGTTCACGTACAGCATGCAGGACTACATCCAGAAGATCCCGGACGTTTTGCAGTATGACGGAGACAAGGAGGCAAAGCTCACGGATGATGAGAGATTGCGGTTGAGTTCGCTGCTCGGCCAAATCAACTGGGCAGCGCGCCAAGGGAGATATGACCTGAGCTATGGTGTTAGCCATTGCCAGCAGATGATTGGGCTTGGGAAAAAGGAGGCCATGGACTGGGCGAAGAAGCTCTGGAAACGAGCACAAGAGCCAGTGGAAGTGAAGATACCGGTGCTGGGCTGCAGCTTGGAGGACGTGCTGGTGATCTCCGCAAGCGATGCTGCGTTTGCTGCGCAGCCCAACGGTGGGTCGCAAGGTGGTGTGACCTGCCTGTTGGCACACCCGGATGTGCTGACGAAGGAGGCGCCGGTTGCCATCGTGGAGGCGCAGAGCATGAAGATCCAGCGCATCGTGAGATGCTCGATGAGCGCAGAGCTCTCCATGGCGGCGGAGGCATTTGAGCATGGCGACTACATCCGGGCGGTCTTGGCCGAGCTCACCAACAGGCAGTTCGACCTGAAGAAATGGAAGTGGTATGCCAGCCGATGGCGTCACTATTTGGTCATTGACGCAAAGACTGGCTACGATGTGCTCAATTCGGAATGTCTCACTTCGGATCGGAAGATCATGATTGATGCCGCGGTGCTTCGGGAGGCCATGACCACGGAGGGCACCGAGAACTATGTTCGATGGATCCCCGGGAAGGAGATGGTCAGTGATGGCTTGACGAAGTGGCTCGACAATCATGTGCTGGTTCGAGTCATGTCCAATGGCCGTTGGAGCTTGGTGGACACCCCTGAAGCCCGACGACTGCGAGCAGAGGCAGCGGAGCGCAAGAAGCGCTATGTACAGAACCGCAAGCAAATGACAACACCATAGGGGGCTGGTGTGGAATAGGCCCTTGTCATGCTTGCAGGTACCGCATTACCATAGCCACGGCGGCTCCAGTGCGCACCAGGAAAATGGGACGCTGCCACGATTGAGTATAATCGTCTTTGCATATACCCTCTGGTAAACTAACATAGCCATTGAAAATGGCCATTTATAGTGAGTTTTCCCATTAAAAATTGGGATTTTCCATAGTTATGTTAGTTTACCAGAGGGTAGAATGTCAATGTCACCTGAGACCTGCGAAAACAGCGCTGCCCTTCAGGCCTTCCGCCCGGAACGCTTTTTGTTCACAGGCGACGTCGTGCCCAAAATTGCTGGCTACGTCCACCCAAAGAAAGTCGTAGCACTGGACCCCTAGAGGCTTGAAAATATATCCAGTGGGACATTTCACCAGGTGTTTGGGATCACAGAAGAGTGGTCAGAAGAGTGTCAGAAGCAAGTTTCGCATGCCAAGTTTAGCCTCAAGTTGTGCCAGGAACATTGCGAATTTGGTGAACAACGTGGATACATCTGCTATGAGTGTCATTCAGTATGCCGTTGGCATCTTGCAGGCGCCCTGGCAAGTCCCCTTGTGTGTCTCCCCGGTTCACAACTTGGATAAAAGGTCACTGTGGTTGTCATTTTCTGCGAATACTATGAACCAGTTATGTTATAACCCAGTTCTTTATATCACACCTTTATATGTACCTATAGAGACCTATGTATATATGTATGTATGCATATGTATATATATATATATACGTGTGTGTGTGTTGCTTATACATATATATATATATTGTACATATATATATTGTATATATATATTGTATATATATTGTATATATATTGTATATATATTGTATATATATTGTATATATATATGCGTTCCGTATGGCCTTCTACTCATTTCCGATTCCGCTCCCCTCAGCCAGGTTCAACACATCGTGCTCTGCGGACACTACGACTGTGGCGGGATCAGCGCAGCGGTGCGGAATGATGACCATCCGTCGCCCCTGGCGAACTGGTTGCGCAACATTCGGGACGTGTACCGACGCCCCAAACGGCAATGGAATGATGGGAAAATGGGGAAAAATTGGAAAAATGTCGCCCCAACATGGTTGATTTGTTCAGCGAATTCTTCAATCATTTTCAGTTCTGATATAATCTGATTGCTCAGATAGTCAACTTCGAGTTATCCAAATTCTGTGTTTTTTGCACGTTTGCACGACATGATTCTGGTGAAGTTATTCTCCTCATGTTCCCTTCGCGGCCAGGTACCGTATGCACCGAGAAGAGCTCAGTGCCATTCAGGTGCCAAAATGTTTATGAAAGGAGTTTGAGTATCATACAAAGAAATATCATTTTACTGCACATCCATTTGTCAAAAATATTCTCATGTCTTGCAAGCATCTTTTTGTTGCCCAACACCTCAGAAGTTAAATGCAGTTTCAAAAATCTGGAAAAACACTCGCAGCTAAATATAGCTAAATCCAAGTGCGTAAATTGCGAAAAAACTTCTGCGCCCCGCTGTTTTTGTGTGATCTTTGCGAAGTGAAAACTGATGGTTTCACTGAAGGAGTACCTCCAAATCATCTAGGAATGTCGTCATGGATGACCAGTGAAACAACAAGGGGTGACGACTGGGGATCCACCATGGCTGCCATGAAACCTCCCATGAAATCCCATGAAATCACCATTTTGTTTCGCACAAAGGGTGCCCACATCTTTGTTTTGTCACTTCTGTCCTCATTGATCTTGACACCACCAGGACCAGGATGTGCGTGCGCGGAGATTAGTGGAGATCAATGTCATTGAGCAGGCGAAGGGCTCCCTTGGGGATCTCATTTGAAAGGCGGAGCTTGGCAAAATTGTGATTCTATGGTGACGAAAAAAAATTGGATATCAATTGGAAAATTACCAGTTTTATAGGTAAATCAACTATAAACAAACCATTTTCCATAGCAAACTATAACAAATTGCCCGAGAGTATTGGTTGATGGTTTCACATATCTTCCGTTCAACCTCAATTTGAGAAGGTGATCTTGAATGCTTTCCATAGCTTTGGGGAGATGATAGATGGTAAAGACAATTCTGTTCAACATGTTTCGCATATTTTCGCATCCCAAACCAATGCCACATGACACCAAGCAGAGTATCATGGGGCACCCAGGGTGGTGAAGATCTGCCCACGGCCATGGCAACAGGGTGCTCACTGAACTGGTTTGGGCTCATCGAAAAATCCCAGCATCAAAGCCCAACAAAAAATGATTGACACCATGATTATTATATATTATTAATTATAATGTATATTATAATGATGTTTTTTCATCCCTTGTATCCCATGACACTTCCCATATCCCCTCAAAAACCCCTCCATTCTTTGGTGATCCAGTATAGGCCATCAACCTCTACAAGACGCGCATCGTACAACAGCGACGAATTGAGACCTATCAAAAGCTGGAGGCGACGACCGTTGATGCGTTGATGCACTGCTAAACTCTGTGGCGAAACTGTCTTTACTTTGTTGTAAAGCTCATTTATCAAGCTCTTTTTGAACTTTTAAGCTATCAAAGTTCATCCGTTTGTTCAACTGTTAATCGCTTTTTTGTGAACTCTGCAGAACTCTTCTAAAATGGGGGACATTCTGATTGCTGATCAGTGCCACCAACGAAAGGGATTCTTGGAGGCAGCCATATCACTCGATCATTCGACAGGAGTATGGTTTCGTTCAGCCCAAGATCCATCCCTGTGCCACTTGGAGGAACTTGGAGGATTTTTTCGCTTGAAAACTGCTGTCGCATGGTAAGGGATTTTTCTAGGAGAAAAAACGCCGGAAAAGTAGGTGGGTTAACGGTTGTAATATGGTTTCAATATATCTTAATCCCCAAAAAATCTCAGGCTGTGAAAATGCGATACAAAAGCCATCCTGGATTCACGATGAACACGATGAAACCAAGGTTTATGACCCAGCCACTGGGAAGCTTGTGAGATTGGATGTCTCTCGACGATGCGGTTTTCATGGGGATTTTGAGGATTTTCCAGAGGTCACCCCAGCGATGGGAAGAATTCACAAGCAAACTGCAAATGTTTTTTAGGATTGACTTTAGGGTAAATTCTACAAGAACCATCAAGAATCCCTCATTTTGGGTACCAACTAGCCTTCCTGTTTTTGGATTCGTGACCAAATCCATCCTTAAAACCGGCACATTTTTCCCCATAAGAGTTACTCACCAGTGATTCGTACAGGTTGAGATGCAAGATTACTTGGACGAGTTGAAAGAGATCTACAATCTGTGGCTTGTCAGACCACGGGGACCACGGCACGGGGCACGGTGGTCCCCAGTGATGTTTAAGTTGGATTTAAAAAAAGCATTAGCTATAGATATATATATGTGTGTATATATAGATATAGATATTATATATATATATATGATAGATATTTTATATATATATATTATAGATATAGATAGGTATATTTCGATCAAATTCCAGCAATATGTTGGACTTATTTGCACCAACTGAGCGTTTTACGCCAAACTGGGGCACCACTTGAATTTCTCAAGTCATGAGGAAACCCAAGTTATCATCCAAGTTAAACTGGCTCTTCATTGGAAAGTCCTATGGTGAAATGTACCACTTTGAGAATGACCCATTTAGATCGTCTTGTGTCGATGTTGACAGATTCCATGTTTGGAAACAAGATGGGGATGTGCTGTATGATATTGCCAATCAGATTTTGTGTTCCTTGAAACTCGTGCGTCTTCGAATGTTGACACTTGGGGGTGCATGAAAAATGTTGAAAAAATGTGGAAAATGAGGATAGACCTAGGAGATTTCCAGTGATTGATTTATAGATAAACCTATAGAGTACTATTCACCATTTAATTTAGTTATTTAATGAGGATAGACTTTTGAGCAATTGTAAAGGTGATGAACCAGTGGATTTGCCCCGTTGGTGGAAAGTCAGCTGGTGTCCATTTGGCGGTGGATCCTATCCTCCAATTGATCCACCGCAAAAACTGGACCCCAAACATCCAAAGTTTCGGGAAGCATTCCCCATGCCCAAGGTATAGCGTTGCCAACTTGGATGATGAGGCTGGTAGGATGCTGTTTTTCCCCGTGTTTCCCTTGTTTTTTAGAATCTATGGTGAATTTTTGTGCATTTCTCGCAAATCCATGAGTGTTAAAAGAGTAGTGTATGATGTGTGTTTTGGAGGATTTTGGAGCTGCTTTTTCAAGAAATTCCCGAAACGAGAGAAACGCTGGGTTTCTCAGGATGCTGCTGGCTGGGAAGGCATGGGACCATCTGCCCGGGACCCAACTGGGAGCTTTTCGGCAAGGCGGCTTGGACCCAACTGGGTGGGTTTTCCCAGGTGGTGCTACCTTGAGCGCAAGCCGAGTGAAGCGACGAGGCGACGAAAAGGTCACCGATTTCGCCATCCAACAAGATGAGAGCCGAAAATGAAGTGAAGTAAAAACCATATTTCCACCATATTTCACCAGCAAAAAGCCATGTGTTTTTGGACATGAGGTTTCTATCATGGGCCTATCATGGATGTTCGAATCGTTGACGTCGACATGTTCCAAATGGAAACGACGTTTCAAAGCTGTCTGGTGGCGAACCAGATGTGACATGCTGCCTGAATCTTCGGGTGCGACTGGATGTGAATCCGAGAAAAGAGACGGAGAGTGGATCCCCATGGTTTGGTCACCTGTGGCTTCCTCTATTTCTTACCATGCTTTTTCTTGGTTTGAAAAATATGGGGAATGGGATTCTTCCAGAATCTCAAAAAGGTGATTTCGGCACTCGCTCTTTGAAGCTTGGAGATCGTCCTGACCAATCCGCGATCATCGGCTCGCAGTACAATGTACCAAGATTCGTGGTATGAGAATCCATGGCGAAACCCCTCCAAGTGCTGTATCTCCAAAGGAGAGAACGGTGACTGGAGACAGCGGATGGGCTCTTTTTAAAAGCCAATTCTCATGTGCTTTATGATGTTATCTGTATAAATTAGAGTGACCTCAGGTCGTGACTGGAATCATGGTGGGGAATCATCCCCAGCCTTAGGTTAGTGCAATGTTAAATTTACCCAGGCCATATTTTTTTGTTGCTTGTATCGTGCACTGTGTTGCTTCCAGGAGTGATGATCTACTTGTTCCTGTGTGGCCCTCATGGCTGACATGGCAATGCACTGCGAAAATGATGTGTTCCAAAGTACCCTCCAGTAAACTAACATAACTATGGAATATGCACCATTTACAGATGATTTGCCTACGAAAATGGTGATTTTTCATAGCTATGTTAAATTACCAGAGGCTGTCATTTTTGGCTGTGCCATAATGTTGATGACAAAAGCATCAAATCATGCGGCATCCACAAGTTTGATGGGACAAAAAAATACTCCTTTGGAAATTACGGGGGTTCTCCAACATGTTGAGCATCATCAACCATCATTCACCACCATTAACCATCATCAACCATCATCATCAATCATTATTAACCATCATTATTATCCATCATTATTATCCATTATAAATCATTATTATCAATTATGATCATTAATCATCATCAACCATCATTTATAATGGATAATGATAATAATGTTCATTATTATTAAACCATTTCTATCATTATTTCCACCATTAACCATCATTATACAACCACCATGTTTCCACACCGCCGTGGAACCCCCGATCTGCCAGAGGTGCCTCTGGCCCCTGAAGGCGGTGGAAATTGTTCAGGCCCAGTTCAGATGCAGATGGCTGAACTCATGGTGAATGAATCTGGGTAAATTTAATCACAACCTCACTGTTCGACCTCACTGGAAATCATGGTTAGTAAGGGAAATCATCCCCAAATGGCCTTAATTCATGGCCGGTTGACTAGGGATGAAAAACCCCACATTCAGACACATATCTGGTTGGTGGTTAGAAACCATCCAATTTTGATTAACAGCAATTATTTTGATTAATTAAAAAACCTTGAAAAAATGCATGACTTGGGGTTTCGGGATGAGTAAAGGAGCTAATCTCAGAGGAATGTTTGATCCACAAAAGTGCGAGGGAACAAAAGTGCGAGTTTCGAACACGATTGTTAATCAGTTTTAATCCTTTGTGATGTGTGCAGTTTGATTGGTGTTGGTTCCTCGTTGTGCTCGAAGTGAGACAGAATTGTTCCATGTTTGCTGCAGAGTGATGCCAGATGCAGTGTCACGAGACGGTCATGAATTGGATCTTTTGTGAGATAAAGCCAATTTGATGTTCATCGGCGCATCGGTGTTCGCATTGGTGTTCTACCAAAATGTCATGGGCCGAATTCTCCGATGTTCCCAGTGAAATTGCCATGTTCCCCACGGGCATTGGTGAAGTCCCCTGTTGCCGCGCGCCAGGAACAAATTGGTCTTCTCCACGAGTCTTCTGAGACCAGGCACTGGAGAATCCTGAGATTTCTCGATTTCGGGGGGAAAAATGATGCAGATTTCATCGTAATGCAATCAGCTTTAGTCGACAGAATTGGGCAAACTAGCATCATTTCAATGGAAATTGTCCATTTCCACATACCAGAGGTATACCAGAGGTAAATCTCAATAGATCATGGGGAATGCATTTTTCCAGATCCATGTTAGTTGATAGCTTCGAACATCCGCCGGATGTTCGTAATTATATGTAATTATTGTGTCAATGTTTGTTCGCACTGTAGCATGGTGTTTTTTGTGGAGTCACGTTTTATTGTTCAATAATGTTGACCAAATCTTACAGTGAATGAAAAGGAAGACACGTTTCAAAGGATTCCTAAACCAATCAACAAATAGTCTCCCAAATCCAAAGGTTCCATGGAAAATTGGCATGTTCCATCATTTTCATCACATGCTTTTTTCAGCCATTCACCATCATGATTTATTGATTTTATGAATTTTATAGCCAAAAAACGGGTTGGGTCCCATGGCTATCCCATTAAATTATGATTGTCTCCATGTTTTTTCATGAGTCATTTACCATTAAAATCGTGTCATGTTTTTTCCATGTGTTCCCCTCATAATTTGGAGTTCATTGAGCATGCTCAGCATTTTTTCATGGCGATTTCTTTGGATGAGTAAAAAAACTGCATTACTTGAAGTCCTTGAAGTGGCCATTAATCAAGAGTAATTTTACCTGGTTGGTGGTGACTGGAACCATGGAATTTTGAATGACTTTCCATTCAGTTGGGAATGTCATCATCCCAACTGACGAACTCCATGATTTTTCAGAGGGGTAGGGCTCAACCACCAACCAGTTATGTTAATTCATGGTTTCTTTGCCACATGTTTCAACCAGCCGAGAAGCCAAAAAACCAGGGGCTTCTTCGAGACTCTGGGACAAGCTGCCAGTCTGGTATCGAGAGGTCAACTGCTACGTTGCTCGGAGTCGTTATGTTTCACACCCTGGTTAGTCGGTTGATGATTAGTTCGTCATTTACTAGGGATTTTATTGTTTTTAACTATCAAACCATGGAGGTAGAAGTGGATCTAACTGATAAATGATGTTATATGACATAAAAGAATGATGATCCAAGAAAAATGTTGACTTGAGTGGGTAAGAAAATGGGAACATCGTTGGGATACAATGGGACATTCGGAAACAACGATATTGATGTGATTTGGGTTGGTAAATATCCCGCTTTGGAGAGTTAGTTTGTTGCCATCACTTGAAAAAGTATCTGTTGAAGATTATATCCCCAATAGTTGGGCGATGTGAAAAACGAACATTTACCAACCCCTGTCAAAGACAATGATTTGGGTCTGTCTGAAAATGGGGTATACCCCCTTTAGTTTTTCCATTTGAAGTAGGAACATGAGGATAAAAGCATGATTTTAGGGCTAACCCATTTTCAGACAAAGCCGTTTTGCTATCAAACATTGGGAAATTATCTACTACACGTTGGGATTGCACTATCAAAAATTGAGATCGAGAATCACAAGAAGATGAATCTTTGTGCAATTGACAAAACCAACATGCTGCTTCTAAGGAATGATTGGATATGGGGATCATGTGGAGGATCAATGTGGGTAGGGGGCAACTAATATACATCACGTGAATTTTCTCAATTATGAACAACATTTAGCATATTTTAGCATCAATCATTCATCAATGGCCCGACTCTTGTTATTTTCTTGCTCAAGAAACAACTTGAAAACAGTGACCAGTAGCTGCTAGACTAATCAAGGGCCTACATCATGGCAGATTGGACCGGGATTGGCACAGAACTTTCTTCCAACGAAATCAGATGAAGAGATGAGAAAAGGTGCTGGCTCCAGTGTGAGGTTGAAGGTTACCCTCTAGTAATATCCTCTGGTAATCTGGCGCAGCGAACTGGAAAATCCCATGAAAATAGTAGGTACCCTCTGGTAATTTAACATTTATTGAAAATTGCCATTTATAGTTGATTTACCTAGTAAAAATGGTGATTTTCCATAGTTATGTTAGTTTACCAGAGGGTAAATCATCTATCAATAGTTGAAATATACCGACCCCTGAGCCCCACTATGTATAGCATAGGTAGTAGGTCTTATGTAGAGCATTGCCATAGCTATGAGTCCAACTATAATCCAATGTAGCTATTCCCATTAATGATGTACAGAATAGCACCACCTACTTAGAAGCGTTAGGTAGGTAGAGTAGCCATAGATTAGAGGGTAGTACTAGGTCCACCCTAACAACCACCTGGGTGTAATTAGTGTGTACCCGACGTCATGGCTCAAGCGCGCAAAAGCTGCGTGCTTGTTTGTTTCTTTGTTGATGCAGGGTTCGGCGGTTTGGTTTCCCCTTTTCTTTTGGGTTTCCGTTCCGACCCCCTGTTTGTCTGGTTATCAGCCGTAAGGCTTGTTGTTTCTTTTTGTTGGGGAACCTAAACCGCGGAAACTTGCTTAGGCCCTAACTTATTCGCACTTTTTCGCTGACACTCTTGCATGCCCTCAGACGGATCGGGTGAGGTCGCTGCTGATTACAGCGCGACTGAAGGAACGCCGGTGGAAGGAGACGAGGCGGCTGGTGAAGCAGGAAGCGTTGAGCAGACAGCTCCGTCTACTGCTGACCCGGTAGCCGAAGGCTCCCGAAACTGGGCCGATCTTTCTGAGGTATTGGAATCGACCGAGCCTGCTGGTGAAGCAGCCACTGCAGAGCTTGTCCAGGTGAAAGAGGAGCAGCAGGAGCTTCAGGAGGCACAGTCGTTGGGTGCAGTGCTTTCTACAATTGGTTTGCCGGAAGAGGTCGTTGACGAACCCGTCGCGACAGGGGATACTGAGGTCGAAACTTCATTTCAGGGTCAGTCATTTTTGGAACCACCTTCTGATCTGGGTAACCCAGCTGAAGCTGCTTTCACGGACATTGATCGTGCCAAAGAAGAAGAAGAAGTAGATCCTCAACAAGATTCTTCAACTCTTCTGGAACAGACCGAGTGCGAAGTTGAGACAACAGATTTTG